ACAATGATTTATTGTACAACTGGCAACGCCGAACCTGCCATGCTGGCATGTATTGACATTTGACAGATGCAGTCTTATGAGTCTAGTGTTTACAGTGTCCTTCTTCAACCAGTAGATAGTTCAGCTAGTGACTCATAGATGACTGTGTGTTCTATAACTTTTGTTATTTCCATATACTTTTGTATCGATGAATCGAGCGCCTATTTCTGTGCGGTTACTGATAACAGGACATGAAACAATTCTGTACGATGAATTATTCAAATGAATCTCTCAATATACGCAAAGCCACATAAATTTGTTCATCGATTACGTCACACGCGCCTCTCGCTCTTACACACACATACACATCTTTACATGAAATATTAATTATTTCCCAAATCTAAGTATATTTTCCTATCTTCAATATGATAATGACGATTACATTCTACGGAAATAAAAAAAAATGCTGTCAAGTATAATGAATGAGTCAATTTCGGTCCCGACAAAACTAACGCTGTAAATACCCAACATTCGCAGTTAACTTCAATATCTTACGATGGTGTAGAGGCTAAGGACAATGTCTACCGCGCGGACGTCCCAGGTTCGAATCTCATAACTATAAACTTTTTTAATTAAAATCACGTGACTGTAACGTGACAAGGTGGAGTACCAAGGGAGCCGATAGGTTAGGTGGAGTACCAAGGGGGCCGAGGGCGGAGTACTAAGGGAGCTGATAGGTTAGGTGGAGTACCAAGGGGATCGAGGGGCGGAGTTCCACGCTTAAATCGCTACTATACTCGTTCCATTCTGCATCGATGACGTTTCCCCCACTCTCAAGTGGTCCAGAGTCCGCCTTGTTCATCTACTGGTTTTACTCCTGGCAATTGTAATACAATATTTGAACTACGAGTTCTTACATTCCAGCGGCAAGTTGGCAGCAAGAGACAAAACTATCAAAGAAGTTAATATACATTTTTGAAAAAATGAGAATCTGCAAAACTTGATTTCTTATGCAAATCAACGTTTTTTCAAAGATATTTTAATTTTTTCGTGAGCATACTCAATAGCAATATTCAATTTCACTACAAAAATAATGATATTATAGCAGTTATTGTGAAAAACAAAAGGAAACTCACCGATATCGATTTTAGAATATTTTAACAAATGATAAAAATAAGTCACTTGTTTACTCGCACCCGGTCTACTGCACCGTGTTGAGATAGCACTTTTGAGAAACACTTAATATCAACTGATAATTGATGGCGATGTTAGCTGAAGAAGTACTGGAAAGGTACATGGAGGGGGGACGATGCACCGCCGCGAATATCGAAATGACGCAGAAAAAAATTTTGGGCCGGTCCGATACACCGTGCGCGAGTAATGGAAGGTTAAACAATAAACTCTAAACTCTTTATTGTATAGGTTTGAAAATGTCCGTATAGGACGAAACTGCAGTAAAGTTAGTTACAAATAAATAAAAGTTGTGAAAAACATAAAAATTTTCATTCAAAATGGTTCTGTCACAATAAACTCACAATCAATTTCGAAAAAAACAAATATTTGCCTTTCACATCATACTGCAGTACATTACCCAAAATGGGATCCTTAAATATAGGAAACAATAATCACATACCTGTAGGCGAGTCAATAAAATATCTAGGTATCCATTTAGATAGACATTTTCGATGGCACCTACAGACGAAAGAAATAATCAGAAAGTTAGTAGGTACACTTTCTAATTTCAATAACTTAAAGAACTTCCTTGACATTCAACATTTAAAAACGTTGTACTTCGCACTTGTACATTCCCAACTATCCTATGGGATAATAGGTTGGGGAGAAGTGAATTATTGTTATCTTAGGAATCCAAATGTCATACAAAAATGGATACTGAAGATTATATTCAATAGAAAAAAACTCATCCAACTGATGCCTCAGAAAGAGATTTTTTCCTGATTCTATTAATCAAACTATTTCAAACAGCAATTAAACTTAAGCATTTGTTGAGCAGACAAAAATAACTATGTATTCTGTCTGAAACTACTGTCTCTGTTAATAAGGTTATTGCTTAATTGATCATTCATTATTTTTCAATGTTAGATTAAGTATTCATACAGTTAATTACAATGTATCCTCATCACGAACAAGCTATAGATTTCTATGGCCTCTGTGATTATCTTGTTTATTTTCGATAGCACTCTATGTAGTATATCAGTGTATGCGATAATAAACATATTATTATGATATATTATTATCATTACTGAAGGAAGGATCAAGTTGTGGATGTTAGCGATTACCAGTCAGAACCTTCTGTGATAACATCACGTGTACCACAGGGGAGTCACTCGGAACCATTACTTGGGCATCCGNATTACTTAAATGAAAATAATGATATTAGATATTTACCTCTTGACTTATTAATATGGAATTCACTATCTTATAAGGTTTTCAGAATCTTTTAATTGTTAACCTCACATGAGTTCTCAGCGGCGCCAGGACAGAAAATGGCCAAGCACTTCCGTCCTCTCCAATTGCAAAATTCTAATTTCAATAAAAAACATTTCCTATTTTCTAAAGGTTACCAACAATTTGGAACATAAATCCCAAACGAAAATTCGCGCTTGCGCTATGACCCATATTTTCCACTAAATGATCATCTGAGAATCCATGTTAATAAAACACAAACTAGACAAGTGTCTCTCAATTCTACCGCCTGATTTACTAAAAATGAAGAAGAAGAGAACAAAGCAGTGTCACTGTCATCGTTCTTTTCACATAACCAAAACAGGACTGGATTTATTTACAAATTAAATCAATAATAAAAGATACTTTTCGGTTGAACGCCGCATCAGAGATCTCGGTGAGCTGTGAAAATAAAAGTATTATACATCGAGAAATCACAATTTATGTATGCCTTCAATAACACAAATTTATATGGTTTACAAGTGATAATTGAATGGAAAAAGGTACACTTTATTCTTCTTTGATGAAGAAAGTAACGATTACACAATTGTAAACGTTACACATATATTTTTTTGAACTTTTATGATTGAATCAACTGAACATGCCATTGCCATTCGATGGCAATATTATTACTATTAGAATTTGTTTTTAATACAATATATAAATTACAGAACAAAGACGCTCCGTTAATATTCTCCTAGAATAATTGATTAACTTTCGATATCGCGAATCGTTCACTGTAATGAAATTGTCTGCATTCGATCTTCGTCGTTAATGTGTTGGAAATTGGCAACGAATGAATAATGTTTTCTTGATGAAAATCCCGGGGTGATTGATTGACAATGAATCGTTTAGTTTCGAATTCTCACAGTCGTTTTGAAAATTTCATGATGAGTATCTGATAGTTAGGGATGTCGACAAATAAATGTCAATTTGATGTTCATTCATTTCCATGATGGTCATTCATCAATTGACTGTATTCAGTTCTCTGAAAATATTCCAATGTCACCCATAATTGTTCTTGAAAACAACTCGTTTAGAAGGCGGCTATGCAAACAATTGGGACAATGACAGATTACATATTATGCGTCATCAGTTTGTGCATCCGATATCAGTTGAGAAACTTTCAAAAACTAAATCAAGTGGCTACTGCTTCAAACAATTTGACTACTTGATGAAAAATTGCTTTCATTTTTGAAATTCACTAATAGTGACAACCCCATGTTACGATTTTGGAAGTTTCATAAAATTCGTATCGACCTTCGATATTTATTCCGTATAAACCTTTTTTTATATTCCATGTTCCAGATGTTTCAAATTTGAGGTCACCCTGAGTCAGGGTCAAGTAGACCTGATCCAGGAGAGAATTGTCCGCGAATTCGACAATACTGCCTCT